TGCACGTCACAGGTACAGCTTTTCTCTCAGCTTCACATCTCTGAATCAAGTCAGTGACTCCTCACCATCTTCCAGGAGGCTTACTTAACCTGACTTTTCTTGTTTGTGTTAGAGAAAGAACACTAAAATAAAAATCTCCATCATTCTTGATATGGTCAACATATTTCTCATCTTACTCTGAGTATTTCTTGTCAAATGATGCTCTTTGCAGTTTCATTGCAATGGAAAGAATGTCTTCAAAAACCATAAACCTTTGGTCACAACTATTTTCTACATGAAGCTGTAGAAAAAGAATACTGCTTATTCATTAGTCAGGCAATGTTTCACTGAGGATCGTGTCCAGATACACAATGGGGGCACTGGCTGGTGCAATACTTGGTTCTGAATTGCTAAGTTCTGTTAGCTCTAATTCCTGATGTGTTTGAGGTTTTTTTTTTTTTGGGGGGGGGGTGTTGTCCTTAGAGAGAATCTGTACTTGCATAGAAACACTCCAGGAAACTGGGGTTATGAAAAGTCATCTAGCCGGCGCCGTGGCTCAATAGGCTAATCCTCCACCTTGCGGCGCCGGCACACCGGGTTCTAGTCCCGGTTGGGGCGCCGGATTCTGTCCCGGTTGCCCCTCTTCCAGGCCAGCTCTCTGCTATGGCCAGGGAGTGCAGTGGAGGATGGCCCAGGTGCTTGGGCCCTGCACCCCATGGGAGACCAGGAAAAGCACCTGGCTCCTGGCTCCTGCCAGGATCAGCGCGGTGCGCCGGCTGCAGCGGCGGCCATTGGAGGGTGAACCAACGGCAAAAGGAAGACCTTTCTCTCTCTGTCTCTCTCTCTCACTGTCCACTCTGCCTGTCAAAAAAAAAAAAAAAGAAAAGTCATCTAGAGGCATTTATCCATGGCTTGATGACACAGTACACTCTCCCATAGACATGGGCTGAAGGAACAATGTTGTGAGCTAGGTGACCACAGAAGGTCATGTCTCCTACACTATGACTATAATGAAGATGAGCACATACTCTTCTCGCCTATTTGACAGCTTCCTGGGATTCAGAGATGTTTCTCTAATGCTCTTTCCTTAGGATGATATTGTATGGATCAGGTTCCAAGATTTTCAGTACATCAATGCTGACTGTAAATAAATGTGAGATATGGCTTTGTGCATCAAAACCTAGAATATACTGTGGAAGAAGGCATCTGCTTATACTCATCTACTCTATTAGTGTAATTGGATTTGAATTCTTCCAGTTTGCAAAGAGAGAGTTGGGAAGCAGAGAGAGGGGAAATAACACTAAGAAAAGTCTGTGTGGTAGGGCAGATCAGAACAGGTTTGCTAAATATTTGGGAATTGAACCACTGAATCCACAATTTACCAAACTGGTACCCTATATGGAATTTTCTAGCCATGCTACCATTGTGAGGTAGTCAAGGAAAGATAAATAGGCTCTCAATAGATAGAAATGAGAAGAGAGGCAATTCCTAGTTTTATTGTTAATGAAAGCATAGAAGCAGTTCACAAAATGGTGATTAGTCTGTAAGCCTATCATTCTTATGCCACCCCAATAACTAGTAGTGATTGAAAATCCCTCATAAGAAGAATCATAACTCCGGTGTGCTGGGAGCAATGAGCAATATCTGTCATGGTCTCAAAGTAGAAAGTAGGGGACTTCACTGTGGCTCAGTGCGTTAAGTCACAGCCTGCAGGTCCAGTATTCAAAATGGTCATCAGTTCAAGTCCCAGGTGTTCTACTTCCAATCCAGATCTTGCTAATGGACCTGGGAAAAAGTTGTGAAAGATTACCCAAGTGCTTGACCCCTACACCCATGTAAGAGACCCAGATGAACATCTGGGTTCCTGGATTCTATCTGGCTCAGCTCCAGTCATCGCAGTCATTTGGAGTGTGTATCAACAGATGGAACATCTTTCTCTCACTCTCTCGCTCTCTCTTGCTCTTGCTCTCTCGTTCTCTCACTCTCTCGCTCTCTCTTGCTCTTGCTCTCTCGTTCTCTCACTCTCTCGCTCTCTCTGTAACTCCAACTTTCAAGTAAGTAAATTCTTATTAAAAGCCAAAGAGTAAGAAATATTGATATGAATTTTGCAAAATTCGTTGAAGTCATTTCTACCATACTATTAAGAAGGAGAGGGCTGACTGGGTCACCTCAGCAGGACAAACCAAATAGGCAACATCTTGCTCTCATGATCCTCCTCCCAGCCGTATTTCTAACTCTGCAGAGTGAGAAAACATGCAAGGAAACAACAAATATGGAAACAAGCAGTGTAAAGACTAGGAGTCGGGGCCGGCGCTGTGGCGCACTAGGTTAATCCTCTACCTGTGGCGCCAGCATCCCATGTGGGCACCAGTTCTAGTCCCGTTTGCTCCTCTTCCAGTCCAGCTCTCTGCTGTGGCCCAGGAGGGCAGTGGAAGATGGCCCAAGTGCTTGGGCCCCTGCACTCGCATGGAAGACCGGGAGGAAGCACCTGGCTCCTGGCTTCAGATCCGCGCAGCTCCGGCCGTGGCGGCCACTTGGGGAGTGAGCCAACAGAGGGAAGACCTTTCTCTCTGTCTCTCTGTCTCTCTCTCTCACTGTCTGAAACTCTGCCTGTCAAATAAATAAATAAAATCTTTTTTAAAAAAAAAGACTGGGAGTAAAGAAAGAAACAGCAAATTGTACCCCTCTTTTCTATTCAGTCTTTTTGCTGAAACGGCCCACTTCAGAAATAGGGATTCAGTTCATCTTTAAACTAAATTCAACATTTTATTCCTCACAAAATGATTCACCTCTAAACTTTTTATAGGCTAGATATGGACAGTGGCTTAAGATTAAGCATGCAGTTAAGAGACACTTGTCATCTTGCACTTTTTTTGAAATGTAATATCTTAGGTATGTTGATGTTTAGATTAAAACTCCTATTTAATAACATCCTGCTACACGTTAGAGAATTGTCGCTCCCCCTCTTCGTGGAGGAGCAACACAGGACCCTGCGCTGTTCTTTCGTCTGCTCGGCCCTCCCCGGGTTTGCTGCTGGTTCTTCCCGGGTTGGCTACTGTCCCTTCCACCTCCGTGGAAGGGCGGTTCCCCCTGGCCACATTCCCCACTTCCGCAGGGGAGCGGCACACCGCCGGCCGGCTCTCTCGGGGGCTACTCAGGTGTTCCCCTTAGATGTTCCCCTTAGATGTTCCTGGTGCATGCCGTCTCTCTCCTCCTTTATAGTCCTCCTCTGCCAATCCCAACTCTGCTGCCCACACACCGAGTACGCTGCTCTCCTCCAATCAGGAGCAAGTCCTACAGTTTATTGGCTGAACTGGAGGCAGCTGTGTAGAAGCTGTTTTCTTCTCTCCCAGCGCCATATTGTGGGAGAGCAGATGCATAGAATAAGTCTTAATTCCAGTAACTTAGTCTAGTCCGAGTTGCTCCCCACAAGAATAATGCACAAAAACTTTAGAAATTTTACGTAGACCAGTGAGAGAAAAGATGCTAGCTTGGGCCTTTACTGGTATCAGTAAAATTTCATTGATTCATTCTTAAAGAACAGTGGGAAGCACATAATGCACTGCTAATAGTCACAGATGATTATGCTACCTTCAGAACAATATGCCTGGTTTACAGACTTCTCTCCAGCACAACCCTTGTACTCATTCTCAGTGACTTCAATATTTGTGGACATGTTCCATCTGAAAACATGATCTTCCAACTGTGTTTCAGACTTTTGTTCTGAATTAATCAAGGGCTAGCAAGCAATTCCAAAACCAGTTCAAAGAGTTCCTGTATACTCGACAGGCTACCGCAATGCTGACAAGTTACATACATGCAGCATATTACTAAAACATGAATAAGTAGTGGTAGGGGCAATTAACCTAGTGATTAAGATGCTTGCTTCAGGCCAGTGCCGTGGCTCAATAGGCTAATCCTCCGCCTTGCGGTGCCGGCACACCGGGTTCTAGTCCCGGTCGGGGCGCCGGATTCTGTCCCGGTTGCCCCTCTTCCAGGCCAGCTCTCTGCTGTGGCCCGGGAGTGCAGTGGAGGATGGCCCAAGTCCTTGGGCCCTGCACCCCATGGGAGACCAGGATAAGTACCTGGCTCCTGCCATCGGATCAGTGCGGTGCGCCAGCCACAGCGCTCTGGCTGTGGCAGCCATTGGAGGGTGAACCACCGGCAAAGGAAGACCTTTTTCTCTGTTTCTCTCTCTCACTGTTCACTCTGCCTGTCAAAAAATAAATAAATAAATAAATAAAATTTTAAAAAAAGAAGTTTAAAAAAAAAAAAGATGCTTGCTTCCCACACTGGAGTATGTGGGTAGGATTCCTGATTCCAGTCTGCTACTAGAGACCCTGAGAAGTAACGATAATGGTTCAAGTAGTTGGTTCCCGCCACATGTGTGGAAGGCCTGGATTGCAATCTTGTCTTCCAGCTTTGACCTGGAACCTGGGCATTTTGGGTATTTGGAGAGTGAATCAGCTAATATCTCTCTGTCTGTGTATCTATCTATCAATTTATCTGTGTATCTCAAATTAAAATTTAAACATCTAAGAATAATTATGTGTTAATTACAGAGTTCAACCAATGGTACTAGAACAAAAAAAATACTAAAATGTATAAAGTATTACATTGTACATCAACCGTCAGGACAAGAGCTGATCAAGTCACTGTTTCTCATAGTGTCCATTTCACTTCAACAAGTTTCCCTTTGGTGCTCAGTTAGTTGTCGCCGATCAGGGAACATCTGTGTATCTCAAATAATTAAATAGAAAAATTGTTTAAAACTTTTATTTAGTAAATTTCCAAAGTACAGTTTATGGATTATAATGGCTTTTCCCCCCGCCATAACTTCCCTACCACCTGCACCCCTCCCATCTCCCGCTCCTTCTCCCATTCCATTCACATCAGGATTCATTTTCAATTACCTTTATAT